GCCCACGAGAGGAATATGAAATCTTAAAATCAGAAGAGTCCCCTACTTTTATCTCCTTTCGTACAGAAGCAGAGGTATTTTTTTCAGTAAAAGGTTGGCGAGATTCATCGAACAAAGAAAACAATTTAGTAGCTGTACAATCCTTATCAGTAAAGTTCATCTCACTTCTGTTATCATCTTTCCCAGGTTTTTCAAGAAACAAACCATCAAAAACTGGATTGATAAGCTCCTGTTCAAGCTTCTCCGGTGAGAAGGCCTCTTCAAAACCCAAAATTTCATGGAAACGCCAGAACACTTGAGATACCTAATTAAAGCATAAAAAATGACTATCATATATGTGTGGCAGGACTTAGTGTATGTAGGGTAGGTTGTAGATTACCATAAGGAAAACACATGTTTGTACCTGAAGAAAGTCACCAACAAGTACAGGAGGAAGCCTCAAACACATTGGCCTCCCAGGAGGAGGGTGTGGATTTCTGACACCATGACCACCATTTAGTTTAGGCTTCTTGGCTTTCTGAGAAATCTCACCGGGACCTTCTTCCTTGACATTTTCCCAACCATTTGGTTTGACAACTAGTGCTCCTTCCGCTACAGTTACAGGAACAGAAGAGGAAATTCTACTCTTCAGATTTCTATAATTTGTACAAGATTCGGTACCAGGCATATGTTCAATCATTTCCTGTACAAAATCTGCGTCAAGTCCAAATCTGTTTTGATCCAGCCACCTTGACAAAGCATCAACTACAGTTGCAATCTGGCTTTTATCCTTTTCACCACATATCACACTGTGAGGAGCCAAAGAACAGCAAAATCTTGACAACGATAAAATTACATGGTCTTTCTCATTCATCGCACCCCAGTTGATTCCCCTTGTTTCTCCGTCAACGTGCTTGCAAGGGAATTCCATGGTACCCTTCTGCTTCAGGACATTGGAACATGCATCAACAAGTTTTTGAGACATCTTTTTCCATGCAACAGACAATGAATCTTCTTCCACAACAATGTCGCCAATGTCAACCCCATGGTCCTGATTATAGGATAATATATTATCAACGTCTTCTTGAGAAGAACCAACCTCTGAGCGCATGCAACTGAATGTCTTGGAGAAATTATTCTCTCGTAAACAAGACAGTATATCATCTCCAAGAGGTGCGCAGTGATCCGAAAGAAGAATCTCAATATTAGCATCATCATCATGCTCTTGGGTACTTTCCCTACGATCACTTCGCTTGTCAATGTTCTGTTCCAGCATTTCATCAATCTTTGGGCAGGAGAAGACAGTTGATCCAACTGGAATAAATGACTTAGAGCATGGTGACCGTGTAATCTTGAAAACAGGACCAGAACTGCTATCAGATACTTCACATGTAAATAGTGATCCCGTTATCTTATCATGCCAGCAGGACTTATATCCTATTGGATAAATCATGTTGACGTTATGGTAAGACTGCCTTATGTCAATTCGTCCAAGTGACAGAACAAAGAAATCTTCAAACTGCATTGGAAGTCCATTCTGAAAATCAAATACACAAACATTAGGATAAATAGTACGAAAAAATATTGGAAAAAAAAAAAGAAATTAATCAGGAGAGATTGCAAGCTTACACTTATATTGGCATCCTCACAGCCGCATCCATTATTGCCAGAGCTAATAGAATCACCAGCCTGAAAATGAGTACCAGATTTAATGGCAAAAGAGGACATAGTTTGACCATTGAATGGAAAACGCCTGAGCTGAGCACTCACTGCACTACCCTTTTGCTCAGGGAAACCATTGTTTGGCCATCTTGATGTCTTTCTCCTCTTGGGCATATGCAATCTTTCTTGAAGAAGAGCACTTTCATTCCTGATTTCAGCATCCATACAGCTGTAGTTACCATTAACTGCTAAGCCCAAATAACAAGCAACATCTTGTATTGAACTAAATGTTTTTCCGTTCGGTGCACAATACACTGCACATAGCTGATAACTGTTTAAAGGCTGTTTAAATTCGACACGCCAACCATCTTCCAATACTCCATGCCTTTCAGATATGAAATGCCTGAGATTTTGCAGAAATAACTCACTTGGATCCAAGGATGGAAATCTAACGGGAAAACTACTGTTGTTCAGGCTTAATGGGAATCCCAAACTTAGATTATGTGAACCCAATGCATCCATATTCATTTGGGGATTACGAGCAATTAGCCCTGAAGCTTCGATACTAGCATATCCTCTAGCAGAATTTGGAAAGCTTGAATCCATCATTGGATAATCAATAGAGCTTCCCATACAAGAGCTGCTGGCCAGCATATGCTTTCTGGAGAAGATGAAAGAAGCAACCACATGATCCATCAGTGATTTACAATTTACAATTCCGGCTAGGTATTTTCTTAGACATACTCAAGTTATAGTAAGGCCAGAAAAATTCCTATCAAATAAAGTCTAAGAAACTGAGTGTAAATGAGAAAACAAAAAAAAATCGCAAAGGCATAGCTGTAAAAATTATTAAAAACTAGTGCATGTCTAGAAAGCCTCGTCATGCATAGATAATTGGTAAGAGTCGAGAGCAAAGGCTACTTAGACACAGGCTCCCATGAACGGTAGCTAATGATTTGGGTCTTGGCACAGAACGCCCAACTGATACTGTAACCTAAATTAAACTACACCAAACCCGAATCAAGTGAGATTTTTCGGTAGTTCTAGCATCCTTTTGAGACCTTTGTTCCCTATGCATGTAAAGAAACCTTAATCAAGTATTGCCTCTATGTCCTCGATCTCAACCAAAAATACAATTCCTATAAACCCTAACGCATCGTGGGGAAACAGAACCAGGGAAACGTACCTAGAATCTGAAGTATCATCGCCTCCATACCCCTCCGCATCACTCGGGGGCGAGGCGTTCATGTCCAGAATGAGCTTAGACTTGACACCCAACGGCCAGAGTTTGCTCCTCTCGCCGCCAGTAACACAGTCGCTGCACATCCAATCGGAAGAGGGAGCGGCCTCCACCCCGTCGTTAACACAACAGAGATGAAACCCTCGCTCACAAGCATCGCAGACAACAACGAGCTCCATAGACTCCGGCCTTCCACAGGCGCCGCAGGGAGCATCCCGATCCGGCTCAGGGACCTCGGCAGGCGCTCCAGGTGCTGGGTCGGGATTATCATGAATTGAGCGAACAACTTCGACGGGTTCATAGTCGGCGTCGTCATCTTGAGCGCCGGTGCAACCACCGCCGAGAGTAGCGGCGGAAGGGATTTCGTTGAGATCGATGCCGAGAAAGGAGCGATTATCTTCCTTGAGAGCGGCGGTGGTCTGAGTGTCTCCGAGTAGCTCGCTAGTAGAATCAGTGAGTCCCATTATTCGATTAGGTTATTGGAATCGAGCATTGTTTGCATTGAAGAGGAAGAAGAAGAAAGAAGCAGAGAAGATTTGTATATTGCGAGAAAGTGAGAAAAAAGAGGTTTTTCTTAATTAATCTTTTGTTTTCCTACTTTTCCCGAAGTTCTGTTTGGAGAGAGAAAACCCAAACAAAAAAAAAAAACGTGAAATTATCATCTTTTCCCTATTATTTTGTGTGTTTGCCTTTTTATTTGCCACTAAAAACATATATTTTCGAAGATGCTACGCTACTCACGACTCACGTTACGCACCAAAATTTTAATCAAAATAAAAAAAATTAACAATCGTATGATGCTAAATTATTGTTAATTTATAAAATAAGAGAAATTTAACTCTCATCCTATTTTTTTTTATTATACATAGGTTAGTACTAATTAAATGGAATATATGTATGTGACACATGAGATGAGAGAAGTACAATATTTTTTGTAGGGTGGTTTCTCAAAGATGAGAGAAGTACAAAGGAAACGATGGACCTCCGTAGTCAAATAAATAAAAGAGTAATGTTACTGTGTCAGAAGGAAGGTAAAAGAAGAATTTGGCATCACGAGGAAAGCAGCTCCAGGAAGATGTAACACACACGTTAATGATATATTACTAATCTTGATCTCTTTTTATTTGTTTTTCTTTTCTTCTAATTATCAACCGATTCGATATACAATAATAGTCTCACAGAAGATGTAGTATTAGCTAGAGATACTCAGACATAAAAAAAAAAAAAAAATCAAAGCAGGAACACAACGATTACATGAACCAACCAAACGAAAAAAACAAGATCAGACAGAAAAGTAGAAAAAAAAAAAAAAAAAAAAACTGTAAATAGAACAAAATGGGTTTACAACATTAGTGTGTAAAAGCCCATAAAGAGCCCATTCAACGATACCGCCGAAGAAGAATAAAGAAGAATCATATCCTCTCTATTTATTTTTTTAACCATCAAAAAAAGAGAAAAGGCGGCCTATTAGTGAAAGCCCATCCGACGATGTCGTCAACGCCAAGGAAGAAAAAAAAGAGTCATCTCGACTTGTATTTATATTAGAAATAACTACCTGAGAGACCTACCTGATCAAAGAAGAAATAGAATTCGTGTTCGTGCCCTCCGCTCCGTACGTAGGTGATAAAGTTAGTTTCCTCTTCGCCTCTTGGCTTTTTTTCTTGCACCGATCAGTGTTTGCTGAGTGCCGCCGCCTCCCCATATATATAGTCCTCTCTCCGTCGCTAATCTTGGTCAAATTCAGCACGTTCCACCGCTGTTCCTGATTATTCCGTGTTCTCTCATCATCTCGCCACCGTCACTGTATCACGTCGCCGTATTCCATTATTTAGGTACCCCAACTAGTTCCAGTTTCCATATTTATTGTATGTGTATGAGTGTAAACATGTCGTTATTTTAATCATTCTAGTTTTCTTGTTTTACTCTCGTCTTCCTTAATTTGTAGAAATCGTGGAGAGTCCAATGGATCCGCAGACGCACAACACTTGGTCGCCGCTAGTCGAAAAAGTCGAGAAGGTGAAGTTGTTTTCGGAACACTGAGTATTTCTTCCTTGGAGACTAATTAATTAAAGTGGAGTTAATTATTTGATGTGGATCTCTGTTTTCTTTTTTGGCGCAGGGAGTTAGCGATCTGGAACTGGACGGAGGAGTGATGGTAGAAGTCGTCGTCGATTTCCCTTCAGGCAAAGACTCTCAGCAAAATGTAGTCAAGGAAAACCGGAAGAATATTGACAGGTCAGGAGGAGTGACCAGTAGTGACTGTCGGATCACCTTTTACGCACTAGCTTTCGTATTTGTCTTCCACAATCTCGTTGGATCTATCTTAGTTATATGGTTCGACCTCTGCACCGACGCTGGCACCTTGCACAAGTTACTGTAAGGAAACTTTCGTGTTTATCTATTTAGTCTCGTTAATTGAGTTTAGTGTTTGTTTTCTAATTACTAATCGTAGTGTGTGTGTGTGTGTGTAACATGGTTATAGGTATGTCTTCTTGTCTGCTGCAACCATTCCATACATTGGTTTGCTATTCGTTTGCTTGCGCAAGGATGTTCCAGTCCCGAGTTATCGGCTAGGAGCTGAGCGGCGGTCTGGGATCTACCTAGCTATAATGGTTGTCATTTATTGCATATCCTACGGCGTCCAGGACGTTGAGGTGATAATTGAAATGTCATCACTGGTGACTATGACTACAATAGGAGTCATTGCAATCGTTCAGCTTCATTCTCCTGCCGAAGATTTTGATCCCTGCCAAAACGTATTCATACTATTTCTAGTAGTGTTTTCTAGTCTTCTTGGTTGGCTAGCACAGGAGTCATGGATGAACCTTCTCCTTAGCCTCTCTATGTTCATCTTTGCCACATCTCTCGTCAAATCCTACTGCTTGGTTGCAGACCGCCGTGGCCTCTTGTTCTTCGTATAGTTGTATATCACTGCTTTTATCTCTGATTTTGTACTAACTACTCCGGTTTTTACTGGTCTCTCTTGAACTTTTACATTGATGTACGGATTTCATGAGTTTATAATGGCTAAATATATTCCTTTCTATTGAAGTTTTTTTTTCTTTTCATTTTGGACTTTGAGCGTTTGTTTTGTTTCTGCCTATATATGATCACTGTCGTTACTGAATCTTGTGTCATGAAACCCGTAAGAAGACCTTCTCTTGCATAATATTTAGTGGGTGTACATGTGGAGGTGGTAGATACATTATCTCAAGTGTTAGTTTTAAGCGAAAAAATCAAAATCCAATTCGTTATAAAGTTGAATCATATTTTGGTCTTATATATTACATTGTCTTTTACTAGATTTCAATATTTTTCGCCTATCTTATGCAACGATTACAATTTATGACCACAGAGCTATCAACCGTGAATAATCTTCAATAGCAACTAAACTGGTGAAAACTGAAGCAGGATCATGCCATTCTGGTCATTACCTCTTGAAGAAGAAACTTTGTATCTTTATAACACGATTCTGTCTCTGCTAAATTTTTCGTCTTTGCTGCATCTTCAAGCTGTGTCACCATGAGAACAACCAATAAACATAAAGGATATGTCAGAGAAGCAAAGAAAGAAAAAAATCCTCTCATAACGATGCCTTTTAAAAATTCTGGCATGAGTAGTGTTACCTTTTCGAAATTGTCGAACAATCTGTTGGCTAAATCGGTGAGAGGTAGCTTGTCTTCAGAGGCAGCAGCAGAGATGAGATTGTCAAAATCGTAGAACAAAAAGGTGGATTTAAGCCTCAGGTACTTTTTGACATAGTTTAAAGTATCTGGTCCGATCAAGTCCTCCATTGCTAACAGATCAAAAGCATTCTTTTTGACTCTATACATTCTTCCTTTCGTCCCTATATCAGCTACATACACTCCTTTCTTTATGAACGTCCTCGTTCCAGTCTTCTCATTCACGATATCTGCACATTCAAATTGAGGAATTGCAAAACCGGAAATTGCGTGCGTAGGTTGTATCCGGTATTTGGTTCAGTTTGGTATTTTACAAAACAAAATCATCATATTAGACCTTAGCTGTATGGCTCAAGAAGTTGAAACTTTTCAACAAGAACCGAGAGAAACACATAGAATTCATTGTCAGCTAAGAATGAGGAGTTTTGACAACAAGGGTGCTTACTGTTGTAAATAGGAGGAATTGTAAGAGGGCCATCGATCCAAAACCCGTTGTCTTGTGCCAAAGAAACATTATTTGCGCCGAAAATTCCGGTTAGGCCTATGGAGACAGCAGACCCCAATGTCATCCGTCTTGTGATCTGTACTGAATCCGGTTCTTGAAATTCTCCGGTTCTCCTGCAAGCAAACCCGCTGGATTTTCCAACTTTACGACTCTCAGGTAGTTTTGGGATCCAAGGCAAAGTCTTGGTGAGGCTGTTAAGATCAAGAAAGTGAGCCATTGTAGTTACAGAGGAAGCAATGGTACTACTAGATTCTGTTCTTGTATTGTTTTCGGTTTTTTTTTTCTTTTTTTATCCGTTAAAAAAAAAAAAAGAGAGAATAGCGGCTGGTCATCACAAAGATGTTATCTGAACGAAGGGGTGTTTTCGTCATTCAATATTTTGACTACGCGCTGTTCCCATGAAGTAGAATTCGTGCCGTTTTAGCGTGATTAAAATCCTTCTCTCTTCTTTGGTTTTCCCCTTTCACCACCGATCTGTGTCGCCGTGTCCCGATTCCTCAGCATCTTCCCTCCGTCGCAGCCTCTCCGTTGCTGATCTTCATATCGCCGTAACATTCACAGTGTACTCCCGTTGATTCGAAACATTCCGTGTTCTCTCTTCGTCTCTGCCATCTTCACAACCTCGCGGTCGGCGTGTTCGATTCAGGTACTTCCCACTGCTCCGATTTGAGAATTTCGTGTATGTGTATGAGTGGATTTGACGTTATTGTGATATATCTCAGTTTCGAGTCCAATGGACCCGCAGACGCAGAACACTTCGTTGCAGCGACTCCAGAATGTCGAGAATGTGAAAATTTCGGAGCACTCACTCTTTCCTTTGAGAATTATATGGAAGGTTACAGAGTTATTTGATGTGAATGTGTATGCGTTTTCTGTGTTTTCGGCGCAGAGAGTTGTGAAGGTTTTGGAACTAGCTGGAGGAGTGATGGAAGAACTCGCGAGCCCTTCTGGACCTAAGAAAGAGTTCGTTAACAGCCACTGCCGAGAGTTTATGCAATCTATGAAGGTTCTTAACTCAATCTCTTCTTCACTACATTGGTGCTTGACCTTATGGTTTTTGAATGATGGATTTCTGATTTCATTTGGATTCTAGTGTTTTGATAAACTAGCTTAAGGATGAACATTTGGGCTCATTGACACACCAGTCTAGATTAGTATTCTTACTGGCTCAGTCTCTCTTACATTATATATGTCATCCTTTTCTGGGGATTTGGTATCTTTTCTCGATTGTTGATCATTTGGGCAATTTGACACAAGTCTATATTAGGCTTCATTACATCGCCTGATCAAAGTTAAGGGCTATGTTTAGAATTTTAATGATGGGTTTAGTCTTCAAGACGGCCACGGCATTTCGTTTGCGGCTAATGTACTTGTTTTTCTTTGTGAACATATGGTTTCATGTCTCACCATTCTCTATGTTTGTATTCCCTTCCTGTTTCTTAGGATTTGACATTGTTCTTTCAGTCTTTAGCAGTTAGGCTTAAGGTTTATGAGTGATGGATGCTGATAGTTTCATATTAGATAGGGCCTGACTGTTCGAAGAACATTTGGGAATTCATTTGACACAAATCTTGATTAGAGATCATTACATTCCATGAACAAGTAAAAGGCTATTTTTTCTTCTTTTTTGTCTGGAGTTTTGATTTCAGCTTAATTGTCTGATCCATGAACTTATTCATCTTGGACTGTGCATATAATGTATCGCCAATCTATAATACAACATGAAAACTTGCAGGATATTCAAGTGACACTAAGGGAGGAGATCAAAAGCGCTTGCGAGTACCGTCCCTTTGAGAAATGTGATTACAACGCTAGAATAGCTAATGAGATCTGCTTCCAGAAGCTTGAATATGTTCTCACGCAGCTTGATGATCTGAAACAAACTGCTGACCGGTATCCTTCTTCTGGTTGAGATTGCTACAAAAGAAACTTTACGCAGATTTCTCGTGTTTGTCACCCGTTATTGTGATATTGTTTCTAGATCAGTTGTAGGTTATCCCATTAAAGTATTGTATGTCTGTTTTCTCTTGCGTATGAGTGGTTTGCTGCACAAGTAAGATCCTCCTACTTACTCCATACGTATTAGATTTTGCGGAAAAAAAAAGAGATTTAGGTGAATTTAATTTGGTTAGAACATCCATCTTCAATGAATCTTTTTTTTTTTTTTTTGTCAACAATAACAAAAAGATTGACTTATAACAGCCAATTAGAGGGACAATTGTTCACATGCAGAACAGGAAGCGGCGTGGTACGGGCATTCCGTGCCAGCTTATCCGCTTGGATATTAGCGCTTCGTGAAATAAGAGACAAAGAAAAAGAAGAAAATTCCTCTCTGTCAACAGCTATGTCATCCAAGTATACAGAGAACGTCGGCCACTCAAACGGGGAAAACACCATCTCCACCAAGTCAGAACAGTCTGTAAGAAAAACAACATCTCTGTGATTGTGCCCGATCATACATCGCATCGCCCACACCAAGGCTTCTACTTCAGAATGAAGAGGGGAAAGGCTCCGTCTCAAATTCCTAGCTCCCATCGATGTTGATCCATCCCAAGCGTGTTGGCAGAACCAACCTAGACCTGCAAACTTATCTGTCTCCTTCCAAGAACCATCAATGAAGCATCATCTTCAATGAATCTGTTACAAGATATCAAACCAATTTTGTGTTAGACAGAACCGGACAAAAGTTATTGTGGGTAAATGTATCATTATAAAACAATAAAACGTTGTATGGATGGATATTATAGTATGCTGTATGGATTGAAAAATTTGGGAGCAATAGAGTTAACAACTTAATACATAAGTGGTCGAAGGAGAAAAATTAAGGTTTAGAGTTGGAGATGAGAAGTGGAACGAAGAAATCTAAAGAGGCAAACGAGAGGTAGATGGAAGATGGAAGAGCCTTATCTGGCGACGACGATTTGGAGGAGGAATAAGCCAAACCGGTGAGATAACGGTGAATGCCGGTATGATCCGTCGAGCAAACCGGACATTTAGATGACGAGTTTCCCGTCCAGAGATTGATTGATTACTCGATGCGCCTTTCTCTATCCCACATGGAAAACTGAATATCGAAATGCCAACTTTGTTACTTTTCTTCCTTCCATATCCAAAAACCTACCTAATACCTATCTTGCACAAATTTATATTTTAAATAAATCTATTCTTATTCTGACTCGTTACTACTATTTAAGAAAGAAAGAAAGAATATACACCTTTGATTTCTCATAAATACACAGAACCATTTACCAAGTGACATTTTTTAAGCACAGTAATATCGTATGCCTGGAAAAAATAATAAAGTAAACTTGTGTCAAATAAAAAAGTAGTAATTAACATCATCTCTAATCTTTATGAATTGACGTTTTATCGGTTTAACAATGTATCAACGTATGGTCCATACCACTAGAATTTAGGTTCATAGGATTTGGTAAACCTACGATTTCTTTGTCATCATACAACCTATCTACGATTGTACCGCCGCCATCATTTTCTGCTCTTTTTTTTCCCTTTTGATTTTGTTTATTTTGACTTTATATATCATATATATATATATATATATAGTGGATGAGTATAAGTTTTCAAAAAAATATAGATATAGTGGATGAGTATATATATTTAAATATAGTATATAGTGGTGTAGTTGGACGGCGCGAGTTGGTCTTATAGGCATTATAGTAGTAGCGCCACCAGATGGTTTTAATAATGAGTTATTTTGGTGGTTGATGATGAAGCGTCCGTAACGTTGATAGTTATTATAGACTTATAGTGACTAGCTAAGTTGTAACGCCACCAGATGGTTTTTACAACTTTTCATATTTTAACTTATATAATTAAGGAATATGCATATGCAATTATATATGCATGACATGGCTCAAACGAACGTGTGCTTTCCCAGTTCTCATGATACTCATGCTGGCTAATGAATTACAGCGTTTGTTGTTTTTAAGTACTTACATGATATTTATATCATAACATTGCTTCATCCCAATTTATATCTTCATCTTGATAATTCTCGTCTGCTGACCCAAATTATAAAATTTCAAATTAGCTTATCTTTGTTTTAAAACAAAAAAAACGTATAAATATTAATAACTAATACTATATATATGTCAACTTAGGGCACCTCATACAAGACCGATTTCGTGTACATTTTTAATTGTTGATATTCTTAATTGGGTCAAATCCACAACTACGACATATGAAAATGAACCAAAACTCCATCCCGTATAATTTGTAAACGCAGACATGTCTGTCTACTTTGAATACAATTCACATTTTCTGCAGATTATAAAAGATATCCAACATGCATGTTTGTTTCTATATCATATTACATGACGTCTCCTTATAAATCAGGTTTTTTATTTTTTTTACTGGTCACCTACAATACAGGTTTCAACTCGTAATTAAAACTCTAGATAGTAGTATCTAAAACGAAATATGTTTTTTCTTCAAACAATACATATAATCTATTAGGAGACGAGTATACTCACGCAAATTTGGAACCTAAGGATCAATTGAGAAGTTATAATGTTCAGGTATTTGGTAATCCAGACGTCCACTTTGACTTTACCCTTTCGTTTTGGTGCCCCCGGGCGGCTCCTTCATGTGATTTATTAAAAGATTTTCTTAATAGACGTCAGTCTCATGATACTTGTCAAGAAAATACTAAACATGAACCTGGTTGAAGAAACAAATAGATATCCCTCGTCGAAGAGTTAACTTGTAGGACTTTTATAATTATGAGGAAAACAAACAAACTTCTAGATTTATATCGAACGCTCAGCCTGCTAAGTAGTCGTGCAAATTAAGCAACTAATCTTGGTGATGTTGAAAGTATATATATATATATATATATATATATATGTAGTTTACATTTTTTTTTATTTTTTTTTGGACAAATATGTAGTTTACATTTTATACTAATAGTTTTGGAAATCACCAGAAATTGCAGTATTTAATTTAACATATTATATTAAAGACATTCTTACATTTGGTCTGTCTGTAACGTACGTGTACATACATATCTTTAAAGAGCCCAAGATTCGGACGTTTTCTGAAAAAAAAATTCAAATATAATTACAGGAATAGGGCCAAACTAATCAATTTTCTCTACCTGCTTCATGATGGCTGTGTAGCCTGCATGATACAATTATGTTAAATTAATGGTCATTATTTTTTAATTTTTTTTCTATCAGTATATGGACCATTATTTTGAATGGCAATCGATCTTTAATTTTAATATATTTTTGTTTGTGTTTAAAACCGACAGAGTAACAATTCAGCTTGACTGAAAAATTCAGTGACAATTTCTTTCATCACATTTTGTTAATAGTTAATACTTAATATATAACTTCAAAGATGACTTACCAGTCCTGCCATATACACTCATATGGATACTAAGGTTTATTTCATGTTCTCAGTAGTTTTTTTCATTACAAACGTATTTGTTGGATTCTGCAAGTCCAGATGAATTATATCATCATATATACGACATTGTCAATTGTATATGGTCAAACTTGCACATATTTTATTTAGGAGAAAAAAAGTTTCATTCTAATTCGATCGAGTTGCAGTTAAATAATATATTAGATATTAATCATGTGATTGTCTAATCTTGAGACTTGGCTTTATAAATCACAATGATACAAAGTTAATGAGTCGTCGCATTTTCATATTATTATAATAAAAAGAAAACAATGATATAATTATTGACAGTTGCTTATACATATATTTTGGAAAATAATGATAATTATAATTGACAATCTCAAAACAAAGAGTACATAAATTTATGAAGACAAACCAAAAAAAAAAAAAAAACTCAATTTGATTTGAAGTAGTGTATAAAGTTGAACAGTCTTCTCCCTTTTCATGGTTTATGCTTATAAATAGGCAACTAACACCAAGGCTTATTCTTCACATAATAATATCTTAGATAACTCAGCCCACAAAAATTGAAGAGGATGAAGTTAATTACCTCTCTAATCTCTTCTATTTTGCTTAAATTCATCCACAAAGACTTCCATGAGATTTACTCAAGAATGTCCCTCCTCGATCGTTTAATACTTCTTGTAAGTACATAATCCATCTTTTCATATATACATATGTATATGCACGTAGAAACAGATCCACACTTTTCATTTCTTTAGAATTGAAGTGGTGTTTTGTAAAAAAAAGGTAATATATATTAATCTGACATGGTTACATTGGTGCAGGTCGTCCATGCAGTGGATAAGATGGTTCCATGGCATAAGCTTCCGGTGTTCTTGGGTTTAGCCTATCTTGAAGCACGTAGACATCTTCACCAAGAATACAATCTTCTCAACGTCGGTCAAACTCCGGTCGGGACTCGGTTTGATCCTGCTAATTTCCCGTACCGGACTGCTGATGGAAAGTTCAACGATCCGTTCAATGAAGGCGTCGGCAGTCAAAATAGCTTTTTCGGAAGAAACTGTCCTCCCGTCGATCAGAAAACTAAGGTACCTACTACATTCATACTTATGTCTATAAATAGTGTCTTCTGATTTTTAATTACTAATACCAAAGAATAGTTTTTGAAATTATTAAAAAAAGGGGGTTTAATAATAATTAGCCTGGTTTTATGATTTTATTTTGTAGTTACTGAGGCCAGACCCTATGGTGGTGGCGACAAAACTATTAGGAAGGAGGAAGTTCATCGACACAGGGAAACAATTCAATATGATTGCAGCTTCTTGGATTCAATTCATGATCCATGATTGGATTGATCATCTTGAAGACACTCACCAAGTTCGTCAATTCATAATTTTTCTCAGTTTAATCCATTAATTGCACATGCAAACTTATCATATGCTTTTAGACGAAACAATTAATTTTGGTTTATCCCGGTTAAAAATAGATCGAACTTGTGGCTCCGAGAGAAGTAGCGAACCAGTGTCCCTTACGCTCCTTTAGGTTCTTCAAGACCAAGGAAGTCCCTACCGGCTTCTTCGATATCAAGACTGGTTCGCAAAATATCCGTACACCTTGGTGGTAATTATTTTATATATCTTACCTATTTTTATAAAATCATTAAAAATGCGTTTACCTATACTATAATGATACACATGGCCTATACGTTTTTGTGGGATCGGTTAGGGTCATTTTTTTTTTGGATCATTTAAGTTTAGAAAATTTGATTTGATTTAATTAGGTTTTTTGTTCGGTTCTAAAACTCGTTTTGAAATTTAAAATTTACTATTATATCAATAATAATATCATTAGGTTCTTACCAAAAAAAAAAAATATATCATTAGGTAGACGATATATATGGACGACGTAAACACAGCTCCATGCATACAAAGCATACGGATATAATGATGATATGTATGAATATATATATATAAGTACAAATAATTCAGAGAATAAATTTGATTAATTAGGGATTCGAGCGTCATCTATGGAAGCAACTCGAAAACAATGGATAGAGTGAGAACTTATAAAGATGGGAAATTAAAGATATCGGAGGAGACGGGTCTCCTTCTCCATGACAAGGACGGTATAGCTATCTCCGGCGACGTTCGTAACAGTTGGGTTGGCGTCTCCGCTTTGCAAGCTCTCTTCATCAAAGAGCACAACGCCGTATGCGACGCCCTCAAGGTTTGATATTATACGAAATTTTGAATATTTTCTTTTTGTGGTACATGCATGATACCCAAAAACAAAAACTAATCCAATCTGAAAATATATATATTTTAATATAGGATGATGATAATGATTTGGAAGACGAAGATTTGTACCGACACGCGAGGCTAGTGACCTCAGCGGTGATAGCCAAAATTCACACCATAGATTGGACAACTCAGCTTCTCAAAACCGACACTTTACTTGCTGGAATGCGAGCTAATTGGTGATCAATAGCACACTTTTTTATTTTCATCTATAATTATTTAATGACGTTACGTAGACATGTTGCAATCTAACACTTATGAATATTTCCGTGATGAATTTAGGTACGGAGTACTAGGAAAGAAGTTTAAAGATTCTTTCGGACATGCAGGCAGTTCGATCTTGGGAGGTGTCGTGGGTATGAAGAAACCGAAAAATCATGGAGTCCCTTACTCTCTAACCGAAGATTTCGCTAGCGTCTATCGAATGCACTCTCTCTTACCCGACCAACTCCAGATGCGTGACATTGACGATGAACCGGGAACTAATAAATCACTACCGTTGATTAAAGAGTATGTCTCTATATACATATCTCCTATTTTGAAGTTTCTAATTATTCAAAAAAAAATTAAGGGTTTTATTTCTTTGAACTTAGGATTTCTATGAGCCATTTGATTGGCCTCAAGGGAGAACAAACCATGTCTCAGATTGGATTCACTAAGCTAATGGTCTCAATGGGTCACCAAGCAAGTGGTGCCCTTGAACTGATGAATTATCCATTGTGGTTTAGAGACATCATCCCCCATGACCACAACGGCCAAGAACGTTCGGACCACGTTGACTTAGCTGCTTTAGAGAGTAAGTCAATTTCATCTCAGCCGTTTAATTGTTGTTTGAATTCGAATTCTGACGTGATTGGTGGATTCGTCGATTATTTTAGTCTATAGGGACAGGGAGAGGAGCGTCCCACGGTACAACGATTTCAGAAGAGCTATGTTTATGATTCCGATAACCAAGTGGGAAGATCTAACGGCTGATAAGGATGCTATTGAAGTGCTGGATGACGTCTACGATGGTGATGTGGAAGAGCTTGATCTTCTCGTGGGACTTATGGCAGAGAAGAAGATCAAAGGCTTCGCTATCAGTGAAACTGCCTTTTACATTTTCCTCCTCATGGCCACAAGGTATGTTACGTTATTTGGTTGTTACAAATGGAATCATTAATATATAGTAGAATAGAAAAGCTGAATTCATTTTCTGATACTAATTTAAATAGGCGATTAGAAGCGGATAGATTTTTCACGAGTGATTTCAATGAAACGGTTTACACGAAGAAGGGGCTTAAATGGGTGAATACTACAGAGAGCCTCAAGGACGTGTTTGATCGTCATTATCCTGAAATGACCGATAAATGGATGAACTCTGAAAGCGCATTTTCAGTATGGGATTCACCACCAGTTACCAAAAATCCAATCCCTCTCTATCTCCGAATCCCTTCTTAGATCGTTCTAATATGTATATGCACTTTGATTGAATTTTCATATATTTATTTATTGGCATTTTGTTGGTTGTGAGCAATGTGACATTGTAAGTTTATTTGACATCAATCATGTACTATATTATACATAAAGAAATATATTCTATCATTAAGTTGTTGTTTTTTCAACATTAGGGCACAACATGCCAATCTATTAGTCAATCCCTACATTCGTAGGAGACGGGACGAATAAGTCCACTGCGAGCCGACACAATCACACTAGGAATCGCATAAGTTGTTTGTTATAAAATAATAAATATGTCATAATTTTTCATATCATTACCTTTTCATTATAAAAACCAAGATTAAAATTAAGCTAAATTTAATTAATTGATATTATTTTCATAAGAATTTTTTAATATATAAACCACACAACAAATTATTATCATTGAAAAGATTATTTCTTTGAGAAGATTATTATTAGAAATAGATAACTAGAGAATGACGCTAGACGACAAGTAGTTTTGTTCGTATGACACGGAACGACACAAGTGCCCCAAAGATTGAAAGGCTAATATTATTATATTGGGCTTAATTCCCGCCGAAGCCCATCATTATATTTGTCTTTCTTGCTCCGTTCCATCCCATCCCATCCCAGCACAGCAGCAGTCATAAGCTAATGCGTTACGATTAATGAGCTGAGTGTGAAATTCGGAAACCAAATAGGATTCTCTGTTTAATTGCTTTCTGGGGACTTGGTTCCACTTTCGCTTGACTAGGTCTTAGGGTTTTTATGTGATTTCGCTTAACACCTGAAGATTTGGGATTTTAGGGTTAGGATCGAAATTTAGAGATATTCTAGTGTTCACTGCTTTAAGGGTTCCACAATGGAGGATGAGAAAGATGCGTTTTACATCGTTCGTAAGGGAGACATCATTGGTGTGTATCGAAGCTTGAGCGAGTGTCAAGAGCAAGCTGGATCATCTGTAGTTTCTCTGTTTCTGTTATCTTATTCACTGTTGAACTTGATATCTGCATTATTAGGACTTACATAGATGATTTTTTGTTTTCCGTTTCAGGTATCAGATCCTCCAATGAGTGTGTACAAAGGATACAGTTGGCCAAAAGGAGCAGAGGACCTGTTCTCTTCTTTTGGAATTAAGAACGCTCTCTTTTCTGTCAATGCAAGCTATGTCAAAGATGATGCTTTTGGGAAACTCATTCCTTGTCCTGTTCAGGTTAGATGCACACTCTTCATCTTACTAACATTCTTTTTAGGAATCACTGTTTAAGAGAGAGTCATGTTAGTGCAGATTTCATACTGTCCAGGAACATATACCATGTTTACTTGTGTAATCTGAGACTGAGACTATTCCAGTTGAGTTATTATTAATGTTTTCTGTTCTGAACTTTTGATTTTGCATTTCAGCAACCATCTTCCTGCCAAGGAGGCACTTCCAACAAATCTTCCCCTGCTGCAAAGAGATTGCAGGGAATGGTAAAAAACTATAAATTTCGTCAGCTATAGACACAATTCATTATCTTTTGCTGCGGGTGTGTTATGTAACAGTAACCACATCTTCCTCAGTCTCTTGAAGATAATGATGAACTTTTTTTTGTGCCTCTACTCTTTCAGAGAAGTGATGAATCGGGTTCATTTTCCCCCAGTCCTCCGCAAAAGCATCTTAAGATAGAAAATGACATTGTTTATCGGACTATTCCTTCCAGTTTCTTAACTCGGCAACCTATACTTGAAAATGTAATAACACCCTACAAAATATTTCACTCATATGCCTGGTTTTCTTTTTTGGCATCTTCTTAATCTGTAGTCCGTCGTTTTCCCTCAGGATTCATGTACCATTGAGTTTGATGGTGCTTCCAAAGGAAACCCAGGAAAAGCTGGTGCAGGAGCTGTTCTCCGTGCTTCAGATAAAAGTGTCCTCTTCTATTTACGGGAAGGTGTTGGCATTGCCACAAACAACGTTGCAGAGTATCGAGCTCTGATTCTTGGTTTGAAGTCTGCTCTCGACAAAGGGTTTAAAAATGTGCACGTCCAAGGAGACTCAATGCTTGTCTGTATGCAGGTCCAGATAGAATTCAGCCACTTTTTTTATTCTTTGGATCATTCATGCTAGAACCTTGATTGTTTTGTAACTTGGATTCGTCAATGGTACAGGTTCAAGATGCATGGAAAACCAAACACCCGAAAATGGCTGAGCTGTGCAAACAGGCGAAGGAGCTTAAGAGCAAGTTTAAAACATTCCATATCGAACACATTGACAGGGTAAGGTTTTAAGAGTTTTATTGTGAGCTAACATCAAATATTTTTGGGTTTGGAAAATTTTGGATTCGGTGTTAGATAATATGACATGGAAATGACAAGTAATTGTAAGTTGTGTGGTTTGTAGGAATTCAATTCTGATGCTGATAATGAAGCTAATCGTGCGATTGGTCTGGCAGGTGAGAGTTTAAGACCTTTAAAGAGAAAATATGAATTCTAATTTTTGTTTGTGTATAAACTGGATCTTGAAAGAAATCCATATGCATCAAGCTAACCAGGTTTGAATAATTTTTTTTTTCTTTTGTCAACGCGTATCCCATCCAGAGGGTCAAACCATGGTGATTCCAGGCGGCTAGAAGAGATTACTACATCTAAATAGTTTAGTATTCATGTTTTCTTGTTTCTGGGATCGTGTCTTTAACATGCTGTGTGTTGGCATAAACATGAACATTGTGGAACATGTTCTCTTATCTCTTTTATTATGTCCCCCACCTGTTTAAATTTCAGTCACTTGTTCTCCAAGTTAAATTTCCAAGAATACGTTTTATATCATTGTTTTCTCTTTTCTTTTTCACCCTTCATATATTGTAAATTCTGTTGAAATTTTCCAAATAAGAATGTTTTATTTTTGTTACCAGGTTAAATTAGTTGTAATCATGTGTAAACTAAACCGAAATCTACTAAACGAGGCAATCCAATTCCTAATATCTTTGGGAATGTTGTTTGCTATTAATCATTATTGGTAGGTCGGATAGCCATGGAGTCATCAGTCATCGATGTCTTATTTTGGTAGCCACTGTTTCCCAGTTGCTGGTGCTGTCTGCTGATCGTTTTTTTTTTTTTTTTTTTTTTTTGCGGCTGATCGTTTTGAGCAACAAGAACGAGATTGTTGTCGCCATCACAAACCTCGGTTTCCAGTTTAAAGATCTTCCACCTCCATGTTATGTTTTTTGCTTGAAGTTACTTACCTACAGTCCCGTCAGCTTCAATAGCTAATTTGCTCTGTAGTCTGTACCAATGCTATGTGTTGACACAAACATCAACATGGCGGAACATGTTCTGCTGACCTCTCTTTTGCTCTGTTCCAGTCTGTTTAAACTTCAGTCACTTGTTCTGTAAGTTACGAATTCGCAAAACATGTCTCTGTTTCTTTCCCTTTTTTTTTTTTAATATATAAAAAAGTAAATCCTTTTTCTTCCATTCTAGTTCAATAATTTCTAAATATAAATGTTTCCTTTTGTCATTCAAAGGCCCATTCATCGTTTCTTTCTACTACAAATGGACGGGTAAATCAGTAACTAATCAATCCATGTGAGAACTGTTAAAACCAAACCGAATTTTATGAATCTGATCACAAAAAAAAAAAAAAAACCAAACTCAAGATAAATTACAAACCCACTAATTTTTCTACATGTAAACTATTTACATTTTTTTTTTCCTTTTTCTGATTTGTTTGTTGTTTGTATCTTCGCATTAACAGTAAAAGAAAAAAAAAAGAGTGTAAAAAAAAAGATCAAACAAAAGGGGAACAAGGAAATATCTAAAAGCTCACATCTCAGAGTTGGGACGATCTGCCACCATTACTAATGGATCTTGGTTGCCTTAGAAGCTCAATCAATGCCTCAGCCTTTTGCTTAGCTCGACTTGTTCCTGCCTGAGACAGAGCCACTAGCGGAGGTATCGCTCCTTCTCGAGCCACCATGGTTCTATACACAACACTCTCCTCACAAAGGTGAAGCAATATCGACACAGCCATCTCTTTCTGTCTCTGCGTTCCCGCCTCAACGATCTCCACCAGCACCGGAACTCCTCCTTCCTCCACAATCGCCGGCTTCGACTCCGGCACCGACATCAACAGACTCATCACAAACGCCGACTTATCCACCATGTTGGATCCGAAATCCGCCATCAATTCCACCAGCGGCTTCATAATTCCCGATTGTACGGCTCTGATTTTGTTCTCTTTAGCTGAGCAAAGCGAGTACAGAGCCGTGGATGCGTCCTTCTTGGCTCTGAATCCGCCTGTTTCCAGAAGATTCACAAGCAGAGGGATGGCTCCGGATCTTCCGATGGCGACTTTGTTGTCCTCGACCTGCGATAGACGGAGGAGAGCACAGGCGGCGTTCTCTTTAGCCGTGGGAGTTCCCATTTTCAAGGCCCTGACGAGCGGCTTAATGGCACCGGAAGAAGCAATAAGGTCTTTGTTCTCGTCGCAGAGGGAGAGGTTCAAAATTGCGGTGACTCCGTACTCCTGGAGCTGAAGATCCGAAGAGGAGATGAGAGAAATCAGAGGCTTAATGGCACCGGCTTTGGCGATCTTGATCCGATTCTCAGGTTTGTTCTTGGATAGGAGCCTGATCTCCATAGCAGCCTGCTTCTGCTCGTCGATCGAAGAGGAGGAGGAATCGAGATGCGCGACGAGATGAGAGATGAGATCATCGGAATTGTCAGAGGCGCAGGAGAGAAGGAGACGACGGCTCTCGGAGGAAGCGGTGGGAAACTCGCCGGATCTGTCGCTGTTGCAATCGCTGAAAGCGGAGGAGGAGTCGTTGACACTTATATCGCTGAATTTGCGGCCCATGTAGGTGAAGCCGCCGGAGCGATGATTCTCCATCTCCATCTCCATATCTATGGATTGAAGATCGATCAAAATCAAAGCATCAAAAAACGTGGATGCTTAGGGTTTGTTGCCTGTCAGGAATATTTGTTTGGGTGTGTGTGTAGCCAAAGGAAGAAGAATGAGCTAGAGAGAGAGAGAGAGAGTCTAGTCTACAGACAGAGAGAGAGAAGGAGCAATAATAATACCTTTTTATATTATTAAATAAATATAAGATGGGGTTATTACTATTATACAAAAGGGAAATATATTTTTTTAATGTTTTGCAGAGGTATTATTACGAGGCGTTGCTTCTCTCCACGTGTCTCGACGTTTATTTGGGCTTCTTGTAGGAGATAAGACCCACTATAAACGTGGGCTTTGATTTCTATTCAGTGTGGGCCCAGTACTCATGTTAGTCATACAAGTTTTTGGGGGGGGGGGGGGGGGGGGGGGAGTTAGATAGAGAGATAGACAGACGTGTTAATAGATTGGCTCTCCGATTTGATCTCTCTCCTCCGCGGAACAACAACAAGGTATGCGTCTTCTTCTTCTCTCTCTCTCTACTTCTCATCTTTCAAATGCGGTCGGTTTCAAATTTTCAATCGGAAGTCAAAATGTCTTGACTTGAGAGGATTTGAATACTCTACGGGGGATTAGGATTGCTGCTATGCTATGTAGGTAGGCTGTGCTAACTTAGTTTTAGATAAACTAAATCGTCATCATCGTTCCTCACTGCTCTTTTTGGGCTCTTAGATCTATTTTGATTCTGAGTCTTGTTTTGGCTCTGACTTATGTATTGCTAGATTTAACAGATCTGCTTTGAGTTATTGAGTAAATTATGTTATGTTTCTCTCTCCCAACATGTTGTTTGTGCTCGCTCGAATCCAACCAAATTTGCTGTAAGAAGAACAGTACTTAAGATCATATGATCGTAGTGATCAGTTAGATCGTGTGTATATTTCTGGAAATTAATTGCTATGTTTTGGACTTAATGGAAGTTCAAATCTTGTGTTATGGCTTTTTTCTCTAGGATAAACCAAGATGGAATCCAGCAGAGGTCAAGGTGGTATCCAGCAGTTGCTTGCTGCTGAGCAAGAAGCTCAACACATTGTCAATGCTGCAAGGACCGGTAATTTCTTTAGTGTTCTTTTCTCCCTTGTTAATTCTGTCACGTTGTGCTTTACAATCTGAAACTCTCCAACAAATAAAACATCTGTTGCTTGTTTGTTCACTTGGACTTGTCACCGTTAGATTTGGGGAGCATAATGCGTGGAGCTTTGGTTATGTGTGTTTTGAAAATTGATTTATTATATGTGTTTCTTGGTTTTGCAGCAAAAATGGCAAGACTGAAGCAAGCCAAGGACGAGGCTGAAAAAGAGATTGCTGAATACAAGGCTAAAACAGAGCAAGACTTCCAGAGGAAACTTGAGGAGGTAAAGAATTGAATAGAATGTCTTCTTTAGGCTATCCAAAAAGTTATTAGCTTGATTTTTTTTGTCTCTCTAAGTAATATGATTGTGAAAACAGACTAGTGGAGACTCTGGTGCGAATGTGAAGAGGCTGGAGCAAGAGACTGATGCCAAAATCGAGCAATTGAAAAACGAAGCATCAAGGATATCCAAAGATGTTGTGGAAATGCTTCTGAAACACGTTACTACAGTGAAGAACTGAGATTTATATAAACCAAGTATAAACAGTGGTTTGTGTAAGATGGTGAAAAAGTGGGAGTCATTTTTGAGTATCTGCTCTCTCTCTCTCTCTCCCCTTCTCTTGTGGTGTTTCAGAGACTCATCTGATATGATTATCGCTATTTATTCTCTCTGCTTGTTGTAATATTCTCTGTGTACTCTTTTTGTATTCATATCTCTGTAATAAGTTGAGAGCAGAGGAACTCATTGGATTATTTATTTTTCCTATTACTACTGTATGATTTATCGGTTAAAAGCAAATAAATCTCTCAATTGGATTGGGCTTGTGAAGAATTAGAAGCTTAAGGCTTGGACTTTAGATTAGTTACCACGTCCAACTAACGAGCACAGAAGAGAAAAGTCAGTGAAGAGGAGAAGAGTAAACAAAGAGAGATGGAGATTTAAGAAAACTCGCCGAGGAAATCTCAAAAAGGAAGTGTTAAGCTGTGAATTGGGAAGATCTATGAGATGAGGAGCGACGGGATCTTGGGAGTTGGAGGTTCGGATCAGAGTCGAGCTACAGCCGTCGTGGTCGCTAGTAGACGAAGATGGCTAAAGAGGCGAGAAACATGGCTCGTGGTTCTCGGTGTTGCACTTCACGCCGTTTACATGCTAAGCATCTTCGACATTTACTTCAAGACGCCGATAGTCCACGGGATGGATCCGGTGCCTCCCAGATTCTCTGAGCCGCCGGCGAAGCGACTTGTTCTTCTCATCTGTATGTATTGAAGCTGCTTTTTACTTCCTCATTGCTTTCATACTTAGTTTGGCAAATGATAGATTTTAGTAGATTGAGTGTTTGATTTTGGTTCTGCCCCGAAACTTTTCTGATTATCAGCGGATGGTTTACGTGCTGACAAGTTCTTTGAGCCGGACGAGGAAGGCAAATACAGAGCACCCTTCTTGAGGAATGTAATAAAGAATCAGGGGCGTTGGGGCGTGTCTCATGCTCGTCCTCCTACTGAATCTAGACCTGGACATGTCGCCATTATTGCTGGATTCTACGAAGATCCTAGTGCTGTCACAAAAGGTTTTCTTATTCTTCTTCTTCTGTGTACATGCTGGTAGTTACTTACCTAGTCTTGTCAGCTTTGATGTTTTGCCAAGTTCGTAGCGGCTTTTGAAATGTAATTGTGTTGCACCTTTTCTCTTTTTTTTTTGCAGGATGGAAAGCTAATCCTGTTGAATTTGATTCTGTTTTTAACCAGAGTCGCCATACATTTGCTTTTGGGAGCCCAGATATTATTCCTATATTCTGCAGTGCCTTACCTCACAGCACTTGGAATTCTTACCCGCACGAATATGAAGACTTTGCAACAGGTTAGTTTCGTGGTTTGAAAAACGAGGCATTGTATGCTATATCAATTATGTATCAGTATTTGGAAATTAGTTTGATTCTCTTGTCAATTTTCTGATTGCTTGGAAATGCAGCGCCATTTTTTTTTATCACTAGAATGACAGATGATGTATCTTGGTGTAGATGCCTCCTTTTTGGATGAGTGGTCTTTCGATCAATTTGAGAGCCTTCTCAATAGGTCCCACGAAGATCCAAAGTTGAAAGAGCTCCTCCACAAGGACAAACTTGTTGTATTTCTTCACCTTCTTGGTTGTGATTCCAATGGTCATGCACATCGGCCTTACTCATCAATCTATCTCAACAATGTCAAAGTTGTTGATAAGATAGCTGAAAGGGTCTACCATCTCTTGGAGGATTACTACAGAGACAATCGCACTTCGTATATCTTTACTGCCGATCATGGGATGAGCGACAAAGGTCTGCCTTTTTCTGTGTTATTCCTTTTGTTTTAAACCTTCTCATTAATTAACACGTTAGGGCATATTAGGCTACCAACGATTTCAGAACTGGTTTAAGTAGAGCATACTGCTATGGATTTAGATAGTTGCTCTACCATTTGTTTGGATTGTTTTGAGATAGGATAGTTTATGGCCTAAGATGACATGTTTTGGGGTATATATTTCGATTCAGCTACAGTTGTTTTCTCAAGTAGCCATATATTCCTGCCTTGCATTTTCCACTCTGTCATATATGGAAGGGTCCATAATTTCCCCTAGCTACCTGGTTAGGATTTCATCTGCATCTCCGTCTAATTTTCTTTGTTTCGTTTTGAGCTAATGATGGTAATGATACTTTATCTGAACCTGTTGCTACTTATAGGAAGTCATGGAGATGGACATCCTACTAACACTGATACTCCATTAGTTGCTTGGGGAGCTGGGATTAAATATCCCAAACCAGCATCCGGAAACAGTCACTCTGATTCTGTTACTACATTTGTCGACAAGCATGCACATGATATGCCTACACCTTATGACTGGGGCCTTCGTCGTGTTGAGAGAGTAGACGTCAACCAAGCTGACATAGCACCACTTATGGTTGGACGTTGCCCTAGTTTTTTATCCTCTCAGTCAAACAACTTAAATGTGAATCTGTTCTTTCAAGTTCTTCATTGTCACTCTTTGTTAATATCTGTAGTCAACGCTCTTGGGTTTGCCATGTCCAGTAAACTCAGTTGGAAACCTACCACTTGGTTATATGAAGTTGAATGAGGTATGTTCTTATATATGAACTCACTACTTGTCTTCTGAAATAGTTTAGGTATATGTTAATGCTACATTTCTTTCATCCAATCCCAGTTCCCTAGACTGCGCATGGGTGAGAGGTTGAAACTCAATAGGGAACTGGTTTTTAAATAAGAATCCGGATAGAAAGATGGCTGGGAGGTCCAGAGTTATGATGCTTTGTTTATTATTTTATGTATTTTTAGGCAGAAGAAGTTGAAGCTGTGCTAGCCAATACCAAACAAATCCTTAATCAGCTTCTTCGTAAGTCATGTATCCTTTTACTCACTCTCTAATATTAGCTTAACTTTCTGCACTATAGATAATAATTTCGTACTGTAGCATCACTTCTCATACCGATTTGTACCCTGCTTTCAAGCCTTTGACATTGTTCTTGCTATAATACAGTAGTCTTATATTGATTAAAAAATAAATCATTGTTCATGTTCATAGTTTGTGTTTTGATTTTGTACCTTAGAAATTAGAATTGTATATTTTCTACTCTTTTTTATCTTGGGCATGGTCTCCTTGACGAAATCAGATATAAAAAGCTCAAATTCCTTATTTTTCAAGCCATTTAATCCATTAGTCCACCATTCCTCATCGCTGAGTCAGATTGATGAGTTAATATCCGCCAAAAGTTATGAAGCTGCAATGAAATTGGCTGTGGACCTCAGAAACTTGTCATTAGAGGGCCTACATTATTTCCAAACGTATGACTGGCTAATGCTGATGACTGTAATTACCCTTGGATACACTGGATGGATGATTGTACTTGCCCTGCATGTCCTGCAATGTTATAGTTCACTCTCAGGAGATTTTTCCAGAAAAGAGAATTTATCTGTGCAGAAAAAAGACTCTGGAAAAGTAAACGCTTTAATCTTCACTTTGACAGCTTACTCATCATTTTTGACTGTTCTTGGTTGAGTAGGTTTCTTTTTCACACTTAAACATAAATCCTTTTGTCGCAGGTATACATATCAGGCTGCCTGCTGATGGCAATTCTCTCCGTGTTAAATTTGGTGGAGCATTCTCCCCCTCTTTACCATGCATATATTGGAATGACAGTTTTTCTATGGACACAAATTTTTAGTGAATACCGATTAATAAGGGGATTGTGGAGATATTTGAGGGAGAGGAGGGCGGGCTATTTCATCAAGCTTCTATTTGCTGCAGCTGTGTCAGTTGTGATTGTAGAATTATTGGTATGTGAATGGGATAGTCGAATAGTGTCATTAGAAACGGAGACATTGCCCTAATAGTTTTTTTCTTTCAACCTCCTGCAGGTTCATAGCTTCACTGAGAGAAAGCTTTACACTTGGTTTTTCTTGATAGCAGGTGTTGTGGCTTCAATTTTGTTGCACTTTTCAATCCCTTGGAGATCTGGGATACCATTTTTTGTCTGTATTTCTTGTTGGTTCCTGTCTGTCTTCACTCTGATGCCAGCTGAAATTCCTGACAATAATAACTTAGTGTAAGTTCTTTTACTTGCCCGTGCTTGAACTTTCCTCTGATTATTTTTCCTATGTTTTGTGGTTTAAATGACACTGATGGTACTATCTTTTGGTTGCAGAGTTATAAGTGGAGCTATTATTATAGTAATAAGCCTTGCTGCAAAGTGGCTGGACACGCATGCAGAAGGGAACAAATTTTGGCAGAGTATCACTTTTCATGAAAGCAGGATGCCGTTGTGCTCCATGCTATATTTCATACAGGTATAAACCATTTCTACTTTAAAAAAATAAAATTTTGGTTCTTCGTCTAATAACTCACTTTTTCTTGGTGCATATGGAAAAATAGATTTTTTTGGTTGGAGTGTCGTCGGTGATGGTGTTCCTGTCGACAAAGCACCGAACACAGAATCAAGAACTACACTCGTCACACCAGCTCATAAACTGGTTTGTTGCTGGTATATCCTTTATTAACTGTTCTGTTTGCATAATGTGTTTCTTTGTGTTTGAGTTACCGTTTTTTTAACCGTCTTCTATATTTGCAGGTTCTTCAATGGTTCTTCCGTTGTTTTCAGGAAATGGCATTCTTTCGCGATTAAGTTCAATATTTCTTGGTTTTGCACCTCCATTCCTTCTTCTGTCTATTGGGTTTGTCTCATTACAAGAGTTTGCTATAATTTAGAGTTTGGTTATATGGACTATTTGTGGTCTCATGTTTCGACCATTTGTTTACAGATATGAAGCTGTTTTTTACAGTGCACTTGGCGTTGTGCTTTTGGCATGGATATTGTTTGAGAATGCTTCTCATCATTCTAGCAAAGTAAAAGATTCATTTTTGTCAGAAAAATACTCAGAGGAACATGTCACTATCGGAAGCGATGAGAGATACTTGCAGCTATCTGATGTGCGGATTCCTTTGATTTTTGTAAGTCGTCTTCTCTGTATCCTTGTTTTTTTTATTGATTATTTTGATTCAAGCGAGATTATGATCCTGTTACATCTAAAAAGTAGCAGTTATATGATTTAGTATTTGGCTTGTGGTTCTATAGATGGTTCTGTTCAATGTCGCTTTCTTCGGAACTGGGAATTTTGCAAGTATAGCAAGTTTTGAGATATCATCTGTATACCGGTTTATCACAATCTTCAGCGTAAGTATCTACAAAATCTAGGTTTGAAATTTTTGGGT